TGAATATATACACCATATGTAACATAAAAAAAAACCATACATGCAAACAGAAAAATTCCTTCAGAACATGTTATACAGAGCAATGCATAGAACAAGTATCAGTCCAAATGACATACTGAAACACGAACAGAAATAAATGACACAGTAATGTCATATTCACAGTTTAAAGATAGCCACTCCATCTTTGACATGCATCAGAGCAGCACTGTTATTTTATTTATCAGTGAAGGGGTCAAACCATAGAAATTCATCATCGAAAAAGGGTGCAATATGGCAAAACATGCCTCTTATTCCGGCAAGTTCATGAGTGGAGTAGGAAGTGTCACAACAGAAACGTATGAAATAAAGGAAGTTTCCTACTGGACCAGCTGACAACAAACCTTCTTTCTACACCATTGGTTCTCAACCTGTGGGTCGCAACCCTTTCTGGGGTCAAAGGACCATTTCACATTGGTTGCCAAAGACTATCGGAAAACACATATTCACTGAAGTTATGAAGTAGCAACGAAAATAATGATATGGTTGGGGAATGCAACAACACAAAGAACTGTTTTAAAGGGTTGCGGCATTAGGAAGGTTGAAAGCTGCTGTTCTACACAAGCCATTTTCTAGTACATTTTTATGATGAAACCAGTGCATGTTCTGTTCAGCAAGTACTCTCTCTTTTAACCAATGAAGACTACTAAGTCAATGGGGAGCTCTGGGAGTGTAGTGGCTACAGGCTCGCCTGCCGGCCAAAATATCTAGGGTTCAAATCTGCATAGACATTGATTTCTTTTAAATTCAAATTTGACATTGGCTGCTAGCTCAATCCAACCTAAATTTGGTACCATGTAATAACCCAGAAAGTTAAAGCAACTGGCGTAATGATGACCACATAACCCATTGTGTGCCACTTAGTGTATACAAAATCAGTCTAGCAGTATATGCCCGATGCACCCAAGGCGGGAAAAGGGTCCTTAACCTACTTACTATTCTTACAGAATATGAATGCAAACATAAGCCTTACAGAATGTGCATCAATCAATCAATCAGGTGCCATCTATACAGTGAAGATTGGCTACAATGGATCTTCAGCATGCTCTGTCTCTTGTCTGCTTGTCACTCTGCTGCCCGTCCATCTCCTGATATTATCCTCCCACTTATATCGCTGCTCACATCTTGTCTCTTGCCTTCGACCTTTGCCTCCAGTATGGTTTGTAAGAGTGTGTTGTCTTTTAATGTGGCCAAAGTATTTCAATGTGTAACATTCAATTAAATCTGGTACTAAAATCAAGCCAGTTACGCCTACTATAGAAATGTATTGTGCAGACACTGTAAATATGCACAAGTGTGTGAGTGTATAACTAGATGCATCTGCTCACTGTCCAAGAGTCACACCTTTATGATTTATAAACTGACTTTACATACAATAATTTTCTTTTTAATCTATAATAACAGGGATCTGTTGATAATAGGTTCTTAATTGTATAACAGGCAAAGATCATTTGACTCTGTATCAATGCTGCAGTGATATCAAGGCAGAAATGATCACATGGCTACGTGACGATATGCTATATAAACTGCATGTACTGCAAAATATATTTAGATAACACTAATCACATTGTCACTGCCTTCTTCTGTTCTCTACTCTTGGAATGCCTCGCAGGAAGTCATCTCTGGAACGGGCCCTTCTGTTTGCTTCGTATAAAGCACATTTTAGTGACTCTGATATTACTGCAGTACATGTTCTGCGTGGTCAACCTCTGGCTCTGATACTGCTGTTTCTGTATAAAACAGTGGTGCTCTGTCTGATGGCAATCTATCTATGCCATAAGGAGACACTATCATCATCTTTCAGGTTTAAAAAAAAAAAAACACACATTGTTCTGTTGGGACCAATTTCAAAGTCTGAAAATGTACTTCTGCTTGATAATTAAGATGTAAAAATTTAGGTATCCATGGCGAAGCGGTCGAGCCACTTCTCCCACGTTCTGAGAATCATGAGTTCATTTCATGGAATGTGTCATCCAGTCCCCTAGTGCAATTTTTTTAATGCAGACCCATGAAGATCATTGCTGGAGCTACAGAGTTTGTGAACTGTGTGACAGTTCTGTGGAGAGAGACTGGCCTATATGGGATAAAACCTGGTACAATGAAGTCAATCCTGTGCACTTATACTTCAACTTAACATGCCAAATGTAACATACTCAAGTGATAATGACAGATGTCCAAAAGAACTATGACATATCAGCCCAAAAATCTCAAATTTTATGGATGCAGAGGTGGAGGTTATAATAGAATTACATACTGGAAAAATATCATTGCAAAAGTAATTTAGAAAGTGTTGTGATTTACAGCCAGGCTGTGATACATGCAGCTTTCAGACCAACAGTGGGGATCAGAGTGGCTAAGCAACGAGCAGACTTTTGAAGTGTTGTAATCACATTTGGTCGGGAGTGCAGGGACTGGGCATCAGGTGCTGCAGAATACAAAATTGAACAACTGATTCATGCATGACAGTTGCCAGCCAGGTGATGTGATTATCTATTCCAATGGCTCTGTGTTGAAAGGCAGAAGAAGTACATGGGTGCTCACAGCAAAAGCTAATGGGCGATACTTAGTGCAAAGCCTGGAAATGATATCACAACATCTAGTTTGAGAACAGAGGTGGAGGCAGTCACTGCAGCCTTTCACTGGCTTGAGAGTCAGCCGCACATATTGTGATTGTAACTGACTCACAAAACATGCTGAGAAAGGTGGAGATAGGTAAGCTTCAAGCAGATTGACACGCATCACTTCAGAAATCCAGAGTAGTAAGCATCCTTTGAATATTTTCTCCAAGTCATGCAGGTGTGTTGGGAAATGAAACAGGCTAACAGACTTGCTGGCTCTGCACCAGTTGGTGGTGAAGTGATGCACAAAAAGCTAGCTGTTGTCAAGGCTCTTTGGGAGGGAGTGAAGAGTGCAGAGGCAAACTTAGATTTCCACGGTCTGAAAAGAATGGTGCAATGAGGAGTGTCTACGGCCAACACTCCATACTAAGAGGAACGGCAAGACGGACTTACAATCAGACTCTTATTGGTACTATCAGAGTTGGAATTCTTCACTGGCTGCTGAAGATGGGAACAGAGTGCTTATGGGATTACTCGAGTGCTATGATTTTGGTTCTTAAAACTCAACTCAACTAGGCCTAACAGTTTTGATTTCAACTAATTCCCAATTAGTTAACCTTTAGGAGATGCTTGTTAGTGGACTGTAGGTCTATTCTTTATTCCCAAAAACCCAATAGGGAGGTTGTAAACCTTATCTTGCTTCAATGAAAACAGAATGTCAGGGAAGAGGGCAAATAGTATCTCGCTTCAATGAAAACAGAACTTCGGGGAGGTGGTAGATAGAATCTTGCTTAAATGAAAACAGAACATGGGGAAGGGGGTGATTAGTATTTTGCTTAAATGAAAACAGAACATGGGGAAGGGAGTGATTAGTATTTTGCTTAAATGAAAACAGAACATGGGGAAGGGAGTGATTAGTATTTTGCTTAAATGAAAACAGAACATGGGGAAGGGAGTGATTAGTATTTTGCTTAAATTAAAACAGAACATGGGGAACGGGGTGATTAGTATTTTGCTAAAATGAAAACAGAACTTGGGGGATGGGGTAGATAGTATATTGCCTAAATGAAAACTGAACCTGGGGTGGGGGTGGGGGAGTTGGTCGTATCTTTGCCTAAATGAAAGCAGAATTGGGGGGGGGGGGGAAGAAGAGACACAGACAAGACCTGAACTGATGGCTTTAAACATGTATTATAAACTTAGAACATAACATGTATTTACTATATAGAAGCTAGGATCTGATGTGATAAAAACATAAGGCAACAATACAATGTAGGCACATACAGCGTGTGGATAATTGTTAAAAGGCACTTATGTGTGTATAAATTTAAAAACGTGAGAGGAAGAACTATTTAAGCTGCATAGAAATCATGTTAACACATTGGTGATATGGCAAAAAAGATGGCCGTCCCACTGTGGAAACAACCAAAGTGAAACACAACTGGCATAATAAACACAGTCCACAAAATCTTAAATTTGCATGTGCAAAAACATGAACATGCACACAGTGTAATTTTGTTTTTCTTGAGCAAATGTTTTATACTTTTCATTCATTTCGCAGACTGTCTGCACTAAATGTTCTATGCTGAACACTGACACCCAATCATTCATTTCGCAGACTGGCTGCATTAAATGTTCTATGCTGAACACTGACACCCAATCATTCATTTCGCAGACTGGCTGCACTAAATGTTCTATGCTGAACACTGACACCCAATCATTCATTTCGCAGACTGGCTGCGCTAAATGTTCTATGCTGAACACTGACACCCAATCATTCATTTTGCAGACTGGCTGCACTAAATGTTCTATGCTGAACACTGACACCCAATCATTCATTTCGCAGACTGGCTGCACTAAATGTTCTATGCTGAACACTGACACCCAATCATTCATTTCGCAGACTGGCTGCACTAAATGTTCTATGCTGAACACTGACACCCAATCATCTAGAATTTTTTTTTTTTTTTTTTTACAACAGTTCTACTCCATTTATTGCACTGACCGTTTCTTACCCCCATATAAACTTCTTTGTCACATATACAAGCATACATATGCTAATATTATCAAACATTAACTCTTCTGAACACACATACAGTTGTAAATATAAATTTAATTCACCCAAAATTAATTGTTTAGAAGAGGCACTTATACTGCATAGAAATCACGAGTTAATTTAACAATGACATTGCTAGTTAATGCTTGGTATTGGGAAGCACACATCTGTAAACACAACCAAAGGATAACAACAGTATTAAGGTGATGGTTTCATTCTACACTCTTTCGGTAACAAAGAAGTTGATTTATAATTAATTCAACTGTCCTTTGGTAGCAAAAGAGTTAAAGGTTTATATTAGTACTAAATTAGTGACTTCAGATCTATAACTTACAAAATGTGAATCTGTGCTAAGAGCCACGGTTTATATAATGTACTTCAAGACGGCGTAGAATATCTGGGTTGCTGTGGATCTGGTTGGCTAAAAGGGATGTGGAAGCATAGCTTTGGGCTTTCGTGTTGATGCACATGATAAGTTGAGCACTTTCCAGAGATTCACTGCACTGGATAGTGTGAAATATGTGTGTCATGCCTGTGTCAACGGCCCGGAAGATGACATAATTATTTTCTATAAATTTTGTATACAGATCTACATCTTCCTTTCCCCATCCACGAATGCTGAGGTCAAACCCACCGACTTTGTGGTAGTCACTGCGGTACATTGCAGCAATGCCAAAACCAAACTGTCTCCAGTAGCCGGCTGCCTCAGTGACATCCTCTTCCTTGAGGACACATTCTGCCGCTTTGCAGTTACAGTGAGGAGAACCAGCGTAGCACACGGGTTCTGGGTCAAACTGGCTGAACACAATAGGAAAATACACTTGTGAGCCTCTGTGTGTATTAGAACGAACTCTTTCCAAGGAAGCAGCTGTGAAAATGATGTCAACATCTATAAAGAACAAAAGGGCATCCTGGCTGCATCTCTCAGCACCTAGCTGAAGACCAGGACCTCTAGAGAAACTCTTCAGCTGTCTCAACCACTTCTATATACTCCTGCCCATATTTCTCTCGGTACTGCTGAACCAGGTCTAGAGTCTGTTGGTGAGCTGATGGATCATCCTGTGCCTTGTAGAGAACTAGAACAAGCCTGGCATTAGCTTTGGGCTTCAGAATGACATTTTCCACATTGTCCATAAACCTCTGAAATATTTTAAACCTGCCCATGAGAGGCATTATAACATCAATATGTTCTGACCTTTTATTAACAACTGCAGGTGACACTGTATTGCCAGCAAACAGGTGGATCAAAGATTTCACTTTAGCTCCAACTCCAGAATCTTCTATTTCAATGACACCTGGATCCTCTCGAAATTCTACTGGCAGAAATGCCTGCTGCAGGTAGGCATGCCTGCGAACATTCATCGACATCTTTCTACCTCTGTATTTTCTATACACAAGAAGTAAATCTAAGATATAATCGGGTCCATGCATAGGATCTAACCTTCTATAACCGTATTGAATTTCCTTGAAATCTATTGTCCGGCCTCGCAGATGAGCATTTTTGTTCACTTTCATTAGTACTTGACTCACTAGCTCATCCAGAGATCCCTTCAGAGAGTCCTCTATGCCCCGGCGAGGGTTGTTATTGAACTGAGAATACATGGACCGTGCCACAAACTCCCAAGGAATTACCTCTTTGCTGTTCAGTGGGTGAAATTTAGTTAAAGATGGTGGCTTGCTCAGGGTAGGCTCTAGCGGAAATCTGCCATCCTGGATCAGATCTGACATTAGAGCAAAGTCCCGGTGCAAACGCACCTCTCGCTGGTACTGTCCCATAATTTTTACAGAGCGTAAATAATTAAAGATGCGATACTGGTAGTCAGGATCTTTCACTGGGTGTAGGGAGACTGCCTCCTGCACTTCTTTACTTTTCAGTGTGTTTTTAAACGACCCGGCAGCCTCTTTGTAATTCTGATAGAGAATTTGTTGCATCTGAAAATAAAATAAAGAAGACAAAAAATATTAACTCAAGACCATATCTATGCTACATTTACCAGACTTTATATTTATTGAACACAACCTTCAGCTTAAAAGTATCTTCTTTTTTTTTTGCGTTCACGGCTGCAAACTCCAGCAGAAAGTTCTGGTTGTTCGCCCACTTCTGAACTTTATTTAGTCTTGTTCTAGAACTTGAGTTTTGCGTGCACATCCATTTTACAGATCTGGCTCAGCTGTATGCAGACCTGGTGGTTTCTTGCCTCTAAGGTAGATGCACTCTGAATTAGAAGGAAACCCCTAATAAGTTTACTCTTACGACATTCTTGTTAGGCACTATCCTTGTTTTTTCCCCACAATAGGGCCCTGAAAAGTATAACAAATTTACATTTTAAATGAACGTTGTGGTTATCTACATTATTTTTACAATTTCATCTGATCGTGACCACAGTTAATCCCCTTACTAGAAGATAGTGTGAAAGCATTAGTAATTTCATTGTTGTATTTTCTGTGGCAGTGTGTTTTCCTGATCAGAGTGGCTTGTGTTTTCCTGACAGAGTGGCTTGTGTTTTCCTGATCAGAGTGGCTTGTGTTTTCCTGACAGAGTGGCTTGTGTTTTCCTGATAGAGTGGCTTGTGTTTTCCTGACAGAGTGGCTTGTGTTTTCCTGATAGAGTGGCTTGTGTTTTCCTGATAGAGTGGCTTGTGTTTTCCTGACAGAGTGGCTTGTGTTTTCCTGATAGAGTGGCTTTGTGTTTTCCTAATAGAGTGGCTTGTGTTTTCCTAATAGAGAAGGGCTTGTGTTTTCCTGACAGAGTGGCTTGTGTTTTCCTGATAGAGTGGCTTGTGTTTTGGCTGATAGAGTTGTCTTGTGTTTTCCTGATAGAGTGGCTTGTTGTCCTGATAGAGTTGGATTGTGTTGTCCTGATAGAGTGGATGTGTTGTACTGAGTAATGTTTTGTGTTTTCCTGATGGAAGTATTGTGTTTTCCTGATAGAGTGGCTGTGTGTTTCCTGAGTGGGCTTGTGTTTTCCTAACAGAGTGGCTGTGAAGACCATCTGGATCTAATCATTGCAGTAGAGCTCACCTCTTAAAAGAGGTGTAGCTGCTGTTTTCCTGATAGAGTGGCTTGTGTTTTCATGATGAGTGGCACACGACATAGGTGTGGTCGCCTGAGGCTTTGTGTGTCCTCTGATAGAGTGGCTTGTGTTGTTTGATTAGAACTTGTGTTTTCCTGATTAGCAGTGGCTGTGGTTTTCCTTGAAGAGTGGCTTGTGTTCTTCAGATAGAAGTGGCATTGTGTTCCGACAGAGTGTGATGTGGTTTTCCTGACTAGAGTGGTAATGACAGTATGTTTGCAGATTTTCCATCTGTATTGTTTCTGATTGAGTGGCTAAATGAGCCCCGTGGCAGTAAATTGTGCACCATCGTGAAACCTGCTGCAAAGAATGAGAGACGGCAACGACAATCCATCACTCCAATTGCCAATATCGATAAGAATTAGAATTTAATCTAGAATTTTCAAGTGGGCAAAACACATACCTATGAAAAAGAACCAAAACAGGTAAACTGTCATCAGTAGTAAGGCACTCTTTAACGGTTGCTGCTGATTGAGATAAATGAGGACGGATAAATGGTGCAGCCGAAACCTGCAAAGAAAGACGGACAAATCCATCACCCAAGCCATCGTAGAATTGGCAAGACAAATACAGAAAACCACAACACTGACCTACAACCTGGTATCAGTGAGACGACAAAAGAAGAGGGGGAAGAAGGAGGAGGAGAAGAGGGAGTAGGGGGCGGAGGAGAAGAAGAAGAGGAAGAATGTAAGGTACCTGGCAGGGGTTAACAATCAGGAAGGTTGAGACACGCCATTTCCGACCGTGAACACGAGGGAAAGAAAGTAGTAAAGAATTAAATTTTCGGGGCGGTAGTGGTAGTTGGCGGAAACACTGCAAAAACTACATACTACTACTGTATTAGAATTTCAGATGTTCAAAATGAGACGTATATAATGCGGCTCGAATCAGGAAAAGGGTTGCTTGGCCGCCATCTTTATCGCCGTGCTATTCCAGTACAGGTTACGCACCATCCGATATATGACATCCACAATGCCGTGCTCCAAAACACACCGCTGCCTTTCTTACCACATTATCAAGCTTCAGATCGTGTTGGGAAAACACGGGAGACTAGGAGAACTATTAGAACAATACCTATCGTTAAAATCATTGAAACCGATGCCGGCATCAAGTTAGTACAGCATGATAACGAAAAGACCAAGACGCAGACGAAGACCTAGAAGAATATGTATCAAGGGACACCGACAACACATCCTATAATTCCAGGCAACCGAATGCGCCGTGGCTGACCTAACGATCATTTGTTAAACTGCAAGGCATAGCGACACAAAGATATTGAAACAACAGAAAAAAGAATCAACCTTGAATGTCTAGCATAAATAGCAGAGGAGTCGAACAGTGCGCAGGATAGCCGCTACTCACTCCCCGCCCGCCCTCCCTTCTTACCATACCTTTTCCATTTGTAAGAGTGTAAGGCAACCCACCGCCAACTCTAGATTTATAGCTAAAGATGGCTGTGGGCAACCCTTCCGTAATGTGTGTATGTGTATATATATATATATATATATATATATATGTATATATATATATATATATATGTGTGTGTGTATATATATATATAGTATGTGTGTGTGTTTTCGCTGAACGGACCGCAACCATCCTAAAACGAAGCATGATCAATAAATATACCATATGCCACACCTCGACACGTGTGAAAGATCGGTATGCAAGCCATTATCTACTACTACTCACAGCTGACCAACTGTTTTCAGCCGGGTGACATACATTAGCTCCCGTGTGATTGCTACGCCGCCGACGGGGCGATTCTCGCCGAGACTTCTTGTGAGAATGTAACCGGAAGTGATATGAAAGCAGACGTGTGCGGTGGGAATGGAGGGAAACAGACTAAAACCACGTGAGATGGTAAGCGGACGACGTGAAAAGTCAAACAAACAAACGGGTGCTGCCAAAAAACTAGATCAATATCAACTACCGCGAGAAAGAGTTCCAGCTAGTCAGCTGTAGTAGGGGCTTTAAATTAAAAAGGACTAGACATAATGTGTTTGGTGTCTCCAGAAATGTTAAAGCAAGAGGCACAAACAAGCTTTTCAATTAGTCGTTATGGTTTGGTAGATTGTGTTTATTCAGTACAGGGTAATGATAAGATTTTTTTTAAAGAAATATTATGTTTCTTTCTTATTTTGCCTCCCTCTCCCTCTCCCGATATATTCACGTTCTCCGTAGCATTGATGTCTTAAGATTTTATAGAGGATTGCGTTAAAAAAATGTTAGCTAGACATAAGCCATCTTGTCTCTGTTAGCCGTAAATAAAAGTAAAGACAAGGACCTTTTCCCGCGCCTTCAGGGGTATTGGGCACATAGGGCCAGACCTATCATTTATGGACCAAACAGCACTTGGTAGGTGATGTGGTCAGCATCACGCCGGCAGATTTACTTTCAGGACTGTACCTGGTACCCACTCAAGGTTGGGTCGCCCTGTCATTTTGAAAAAGACGGCCTATGTCAGGACCCGAACCCACGAGCTTCCGAGCCGTAGGCGAGCGTCTAGCCGCTAGACCACAGCGGTTCCCGTTAGCCGCAGATAACCGATGAAAAAATCGACCTAATGTAATGAAGTGAACACATGTCCAATATTAATCATAAAATAAGCATAACCAACGGTACTAATAAAAAAGACAGCACCCAACACCGCAAAATGCGGATCTTGGCTTCTACTGACATGAAATACTTGTCACAAATTTCTGCGCTTTCCATCTAGGTACCATACTAACCTGCCCTATCCTGATTACTACTGTAGCCCCCCGTGGGAGCTCCGGGGCCCTATTGTATGGAAAACAAGAACAGACCCAAAAGTATGTCGTAAGAGTTGACTAACAGGGAGCTTTCTTCGAAGTCAGAATGCACATGGCTGACATGCAAGGATCCAAAAGCTGCATGCAAGTAAATCGTATCTGTAAAACGGCTGCACACGCAACACCGAAGTTCTGGGAAAAGACTTGAAGTCCAGAAGTGGACGAACAACCAGAACTTTCCGCGTGAGTTTACAGCGGGTCAACTCGAAGAAGAAGAAGAGACTACTTTAGCGCATTCCTTAGGGCTCAGGGTGGTAGTTGTAACTTCGCCAGGCACACTTTTTATTTTTAAATCACAACTTTTATTGATATTATGAGTTAAAGTTGAGCTTTTCTGGGACTGAAAAGGTTGCTAAATGGTGCTATCTGTAGTATGTCTTTATTCGATGCCACCGAAGGGTACAAGTGGTAACAGGCACACTATACTGTGAACACGCATTGCAATTATGCACTGCCGGGTTTGTTCCCAGTTGCGGAAGATCTGGAAGGAGATTGGCTTGTGTTTGCTCCAACAGTGGTATCAACAGCCGACAGTTTAGAAGCAATGAGGTTTGAAGGTTTGAACAACGATCAACGTCACGGCACACTGGTAGTAACCCATAAATGCTCCGTTCTTCTTCTAACTCAAGTCTGAGTCCAAAGAAGCTCAGCACAGTACACAGGCTGTGAGGCACCGGCGAGGATGCTGAAATACTTTGGGTAGATTTTTAACTCGAAAATTTTGCCCGGGCAGCGCCGTTGGGCTACTCTTTTCGATTTCCAACTGCCAAGGGATTTTTTTACGTTTTACGTGCGCATCAATGCACACGGACGTCCGATCTCACTACCTAGAGACCAGGGGGAATAACTAGAAGTCCAAGTCCGCGTGAAAAAATCCTAGCCCTTATCGGGGATTGAACCCGGAACCTCCAGCACTCGAGCCGGACATCATGTCTCGAGACCACGCAGCCCGCTCCAAATGCTGGGGGTTGTTCTGCAATGATCTGTAAAGGAAACGCACTGAACCTTTTAAACACTGACCCGCTGTTCTTTACATGCAGTACAAT